GTAATTCAACTTAAAAGGTGAAACTAATAAATTATATAGACTCATTACATGCAAAGTGAGATATTTCAAGCCTTTATTTGTTATAATTTGGATGATTATGGCTTACAGCTTATGAAAACCCCAAAGTCAAAATTAGAATATTGTGAAAAGGTTTTCATAAGCTGTAACAAATAAAGGCTTGAAATATCTCACTTTGCATGTAATGAGTCTATATAATATATTAGTTTCATCTTTTAAGTTGAATTACTGAAATAAATGAACTTTTGCACCATATTCTAATAATTCGAGTTTCACCTGTAAAAGCTGATAGGACGACACATGCATTGAACACAAACACAGAGGCTGTTTGAGGCAGAGACGGTCCACTCGTACATAAATAAATAAGAGAAAACATAAGGGGTCATATGGATTTCTTCATTATTTTAATATGTTCTTTGAAGGTCACTTATAATGTTAATTCCTGTACGTTTTTTAAACAGTTTTTAATGGCAGGCTAGCAGTTCCCGTTGACTCGCGCTAGCCTAGCACCAGCGAACTATGCAACTGGAACGACTGGATGACATTTTTTGAAAACTGTCTCCACTGATAAATAACACACAGGCTAACTTGGAAATGAGGCCCGATGTCCAAAATCCTGAACCACCCCTTTAAGTCTTTCATGTGATATTTATATTTAATTTCAGCTTTGTTTCAATTTTAAAAAATGTATTTCAATAGTTTTCGTTAACAATAACAACGCTGGCTTGAAATAACAAACTGTGGGCGTTACCAAGATGGCCGCCGAGTGAACTGACCCGCCTTAAAGGGATAGTTCACCCCAAAATGAAAACTCTGTCAGTAATTACTCTCCCTCATGTTGTTCAACCCCGTAAGACTTTCGTTCATCTTCCGAACACAAATAAAGATATTTTTGATTAAATCTGAGAGCTGGATCACTCCTCCATAGGCTTCTTAAGGGATTGAAACTGGCCGGCCCAAAAGTTATGAAAGACATCGTTAAAATAGTCCGAGTGACTACAGCGGCTCAACCTTAAGTTTATCAAGCGACGAGAATACTTTCTGTGCGCAAAAAACAAACAAAAATAACGACTGTATTCAACTATTCATTTCCTTCTCTGTGGGCCTCAAGATAGTTCATGTAGTGTAACAGCGCAGCGCTTCTGGTGTACGTCACACGGAGGCTCACTATTGGCCGACGCTGGTCATGTGTGTGTGTGATGTACAGAAGCGCTGCGCTGTTACACTGCGTGAACTCACTCGAGGCCCACCGAGAAGGACATGAATAGTTGAATAAAGTCGTTATTTTTGTTTGTTTTTTGCGCACAGAAAGTATTCTCGTCGCTTGATAAACTTAAGGTTGAGCCGCTGTAGTCACTCGGACTATTTTAACGATGTCTTTCATAACTTTTGGGCCGGCCAGTTTCAATCCCTTAAGAAGCCTATGGAGGAGTGATCCAGCTCTCAGATTTAATCAAAAATATCTTTATTTGTGTTCGGAAGATGAACGAAAGTCTTACGGGGTTGAACAACATGAGGGAGAGTAATTACTGACAGAGTTTACATTTTGGGGTGAACTATCCCTTTAAAGGGACTTTCATAAAAGGGACTGGGATACAGTGTGACAGCGAAATAACACAAATGAACGGTGGCTAAACACAGACTGAAGCAATGGCAGCAGTTCAGTGAACAACAGCGAGCGCCTGTCGCAGGGGATCATGCTTTCATGACGGGACACATGCAGGCAGGAATCCGTGTTTTACTCCGTACCGTGAGCTTTACCCGCTACTGGATTAGCAGATCTGGATCCTTGATGCGGGACAGTGAAGAGAGTCAATGAAACTACATTACCCATGATTCAATGCACGGGACACGCTCAACATCAGCATGATCTACCACTGACTGTTGCATGAGCAATGATAAAAAGTGTGCTGATGTTTATGATGCGGCACACAAAGAGAAATGGAGTTCATATCTCTTCATTAAGAGGGACGTTAAGCAAAAACATAAAAAAAGCCACATTATACCGGAGTATAATGTATATTACACTGCAGCCAATGAAATTAATGCATACTGTATATCTATTGGTCATGGCTTATATTTTATTTATTTAATGTTTCTATGATATTTCTATCATTTCTCTGTGAAGTTTAATTTATTGATAAACATATTTAATGATTTACTTTGTTGGCCAGAGCAGGATGATGTAACTGCAAACTCACGTTGTGATTGGGACACAGCTTTGGCTCGGCTCCTCCCCCTGCTGTCCGTCACAGAAGCTCCGCCCCCAGAAGCCTTCTCTGAACTCTGCCGTCTTGTTCGCACACGACCTGCAGGACAGAGAAAAATACAGAAAACATTTGAGAGAGTAAACCGATGGATGAGCAAACTTCAAAATTGATTTCATTTATTACATTATATATATATAAATATAATTTAATTATATATATAAAATGTTTTTATATTTTATTTATATTAATTTATATATAACAAAATGTATTTAATTTATTATATTATATAATTTATTTATATTTTATTTATATTAAACTTCATTATCATTTAACTATGCAAACTGATGCATACACACACAAAACACCATTACAAAACCTAAACACACAACTCCTTATACTCAACAAGCCCAAACTGAACACAGACGCTGTGAAGACTCATACTGACTGACATAAACATGACTTATTCAAACAGGGGGCTGTTCCATAAACCTAGATTAGAGTATAAGCCAGGCTTATTTCGGTTAGTCAGGCTTATTTTTGGTAGATTCGGTTTCATAAATCAAACTTAAAAAAGTTCAAACTCAGTTACCCTGGCAACTTATGCTGGGAAACTAGCCTGGTCCAGGGCAGGCTAACTGTCAGGCTAAAGGCCAATTTATACTTCTGCGTCGAGTGTACGCCGTAGTGTACGGCGTACGCTACGCACGTAGGCGACGCCGTCATGAGCATTTATACTTCTGCGTTTAGGTCTGCGTTGCTCTGCAGTACAGCGCCGAAACGCTAGTTGGCGGCGGAGGGTTTTAATGTTCCACTGTGTTTAGATTCCTCGCGGCAAGAAGAAAAAGATTCCTCGCGGCTGTTGTGAGTTTAGGTTACTACAAGCAATGTCGACTGAAAGAGAGCAGATCATGTTGGAGTTGGAGCTTATCGAGGTGGAAAAGGTAATTTTTTTGTTTTTTTTAACAGTTTCGCTGTACTTAGAATTTAAAAATGGCGGGCGGTGCAGAAGAACACGCCGGAAATACATAGGAGGAAACGCGATGCTCCCAAGCCGACCAATCACAGATCTTGCGGTCCGCGTCGTCGCGACGTGTAGTTACATTTTTGAGGAGGTGCGCGTCAGGTTACGGCGAAGGGTACGGCGTATGGTACGCGTCTGTGCGTATGCTACGCCGTACCTACTGCGCGCACCCGACGCAGAAGTATAAATTGGTCTTAAGCCTCAGTTGTTACACAGATCCTCAACACTGACCGACAAGAACACAATGATATTACCACTGACAGTCTCTAATACCATTATTGGACTTTATAAATACACAGTATACAGAAAATCAACTTAAATAAGGCTACAATATAGACAATATAGACACATATATAAGGCGTTTTAAAGTTGTCCGTTTAGGACATGTCATTTTTGTAATAAAGACATTTTAATTAAGGAATGCCTCGGTTATCAGAGAATTCTTTCTCTACACTGTCTTTTATATATATATATATATATATATATTATGTACTTTATTATGTCTTTCAATTCAAACACATTTAACACAATTATACAAATGGACAGTTCCTTTAAATACATCATATTTTCCCCCAATAAATATTCCTTATTTTTCCTTCTACTTTTTTTTTCTTTTGTGATAATACCAACACATACATATAAATAAAACAATAAATAAATATTAATAAAAATATAACATTCACATATATCAAACTCTTATAATGAATGACACATAATTCCTAATAGTTATTCAAGTAATATTATTTAAATATCAAATATTCAATATTAAATAAGTAAATAAATAAAATAACAAATAACTAGAAATAAAAGGGAAGGTTACATAAAAATGTAGTTAATGTAGGCCAATATATATTCCTTTATTTTATGGAATATTCTTTGATTTTAGAGTTGCACATATCTTTTCAAAATGTATACATTTGTTCTTAATTTAATGTTATCCTCTCCATAATGTACTTTAGAAACTAAATTTAACCACTCATTTAAAACTGGGGATTCTTGCTTTCTCAAAAAAGTTATTGCATTAAAAGCTGTAATTCTCAGCATTCTAAATAAGTATATATCATCTTTATAAAGTAGCATAGGTCCTATACCCAAAACTATATTTTGTATCTTTATATATTTAGTTTCTTAAAAAAAATCTTCCCTGAATTAGGCTACTTCTGTTCAATTTCTTTTTTTTATTAGAAGTATAAAATATATGAGTGTAATGAGCTAGTTCACTGCAACTTATCCAACATCCTAAAGAGAAATTATTATAATTAGAAGATATTTCTAGTGTTATAAAATATCGCATATTAATTTTCCAAGCAAAATGTATATTTTAGTCAGAATTATTGCGCTCCTATTTGGCGCGCATGCGCGCAGCAGCGCTCGTTCAATATGAAGATTAGCAGCAAAATGGATACATTTGCACGACTTTCTAACATTTACAGATGGAGAATATAACTGTAAAATGTAATTTTTGCACTGAGGGGGGAAAAAAACATGTCACAAACACATAAAACAGCACAAAATATACGCTGTTTGATGGTGGATCGATTTGATCCACGATCGACCTCTAGGGCTGCTTCAGAAACGCGTGCACACGCAATTATCTAGACTAGATAAACCTGGATCAAATTAGTGCGATTGCGTGAACTTCAATTACCTTTTATGGAACCACTTTAGCCCCAATTTATTTGTTAGGCTCATTCAAGTCCGGTTTTGGAGTTTAATCCCCGCTTTTCTAAGATTCATTTATGGAACAGCCCCCAGGTATATTCACATAAACACTGGATAATGTTGTATCTAAACGTTTTATGTGATTTTATGTCACTTGTTATTTCTCAAATGTTGACAATTCACCTCAGTGTCTAGTAGCCACACTAGCCAATGAACTACAAGCATCTGAGAGTGGCATCTGTGTACGTCTCAAACAGACAACATTTCAACACAGAGGAGGACAATGAGACACAAACCTGTGCACACGTAAACACACACATCTTACATCTTACCCTGAACATTACCAGCGGCATCTTTGAGCAAATAAGAGCAGAAGTACAACAGCATCAGCGCGTGTTAGACAGTGCCTTATTCTCTTAAACACCTTCATATGAACATGTGCATGAACGTATGAGAGTCTTTCAAAATTCAAGCTTGGAATAATAGATTTTAATGCCTGAATATATTATCCTAATACATAAATATATTTATATCACTCACATAAATAACGATTAAATAATGAAATAAAAGTAACAGTCCTTGAACACAAAAACAAAATAAAATATTGTATGTTAAATATAGTTTGTCTGGAAATTTGTCTGCTGTCAATAATAAATGTACACTTTTGGACAATTCAACATTATATGATTAACTTTTATAAGTCAAAAAAGGCTAAAATGTCTAACAATAGGCATTAAACATATTATGTCTAGTGATTTTATAGGTAAACTGAATCAAAATGTTTAATTTGATCATTTGCAAACTTATTATTGATGACAAATATTGATATTTCAGGTATAAATTTTAAATAAAACGTAATAGACATTTACAGTTAATGTCCTTTCATTATATACACACACACATATACAGTAGTCAACATTTGAAGTGGATCAAAAAAGTTAATCAAAGTTGTCCTAAGACAAGAACGGGTATTGTTCAAAATTCATGTACAGGTGAAACTCAAAAAATTAGAATATGGTGCAAAAGTTCATTTATTTCAGTAATTCAACTTAAAATGTGAAACTAATATATTATATAGACTCATTACATGCAAAGTGAGATATTTCAAGCCTTTATTTGTTATAGTTTGGATGATTATGCCTTATAGCTATGAAAACCTTTTCACAATATTCTAATTTTGAATTTGGGGTTTTCATAAGCTGTAAGCCATAATCATCAAAACTATAACAAATAAAGGCTTGAAATATCTCACTTTGCATGTAATGAGTCTATATAATATATTAGTTTCACATTTTAAGTTGAATTACTGAAATAAATGAACTTTAGCACCATATTCTAATTTTTTGAGTTTCACCTGTATAACTTTGATGAAAGGTTTTGATCCACTTCAAATGTTGACTACTGTATATATATATATATGTTTATTTTATTTTTTTGTAATATACTATTTTAATAATTTTATTGTATTTAATTAATAATTACAAGACATTAAAAACACCCAAAAAACAGTGTCTTAAATGTCCCCTCATTACCAGATTGTTTATTGACAGCTCTTGATCTCTGTAAACGAGTGTGTTTCAGTGAACATGTAAGTGTTGGCTTTACCCAGCGAGGCGTAGGACCCGGGCGGCAGTGCCGTGGCAGAGCTGAAGGGGGCAGCGGCGGGTACAGTGGGCATTCGTGATTTGGCACTGGCTGCAGCGTTAACATCGACATCACTGCGTGAACGCTGGAGTGAGCCGGACGAAGACGACGCGCGAGAACTCGCCACTTTAGCTGAGAGAGAACGAGAGGAAATTACTGTGTATATGAACAAAAATACATCAACTTAAAAAAAAAATCCTTTTTTTAAAGAAGTCTCTTCTGCTCACCAAGGCTACATTTATTTAATCAAAAATACAGTGAAAATTGTGAAATATTATTACAATTTTAAATAGCTGTTTTCTATGTGAATATATACTAACATTTAATTTATTCCTGTGATCAAAGATGAATTTTCAGCATCATTTCTCCAGTCTTCAGTGTCACATGATCCTTCAGAAATCACTCTAATATGAGGATCTGATGCTCAAGAAACATGTATGATTATTATTAGTGTTGAAAACAGCTGCTTCATATTTTTGTGGAAACCATGATATGTTAAATAAAAAAAATTTGAGGATTGAGATTAACAAAGAAAATAGAAATGATATTTAAAGTAATAAGTTTATTTAGCAAATACACATTAAATTGATAAAAATAAGACATTTATAATGTTACAAAAGATTATATTTCAAATAAAATGCTGTTCTTTTGAACTTTCTATTTATCAAAGAATCCTGAAAAAAATGTATCACAGTTTCCACAAAAATATGAAGCAGCACAAGTGTTTTCAGCCTTGATAATAATACAACCATTATTAATAATTGATCATCAATAATAATGTTAGAAGTAATGATGCTGAAAATTCAGCTTTGGTCACAGGAAAAAAAATACATTTTACAATGTATTACATAAGAAGACAGCTATTGACAGCTAATATTTCACTTTTTTACTGTATTTTTGATCAAATAAAGGCAGCATTGGTGAGCAGAAGAGACTTTCAATTTAAAAATCTCAATTATTCCAAATTTCTGACTGGGAGTGTATTCAACATGACATTTAACAGATACACGAAAACAATGCAAAAAGTCTTTAAAGGTACAATATGTAGGATTTTTCACCACCAGTGGTCGCTAACCTCTTACAATAACAAAGGCGTATATTAATGACGCAAAGCATTAAGCGGAGTTATGGATCTTGTCGTCAAGCTGATGGATCTTTTATGGATGAGTGAATACAGTGATGTTTTTATCATGACTGTGGTGTGAAGCGGGGCGCGATTGCTAACGAGAGACGTATACCAGCGCCGCACGCAACGCGAGTCCCGCGGATATAAAGGAATAAGGACATTTCATTCTACCGACCTACACGCAAGTGCTGGATTAATACTCACACAAGTCAGTTTATTAGAAGAATTAAACTTGAGGTAACGCAGCGCTGTTTCACTTGCTCTAACAGTTACACTATCACACTAAGTGTGTTAAATGTTGTTAGTTGGGTTGTTTGTTGACTATATGAGACTAGCAGTAAGCCAGATCAACATTAGAATAACATAGAGATCATATTATAATATTTCATCCTGTTGAACTAAATAACATTGATTAGTTTTATGTACATTTGCTCAGCTGTCTAATAAAGTACACGCAACACTTGCGTCTCTGTCGAGTCGAAGTTCGTCGCGGACGTGGAGCTCTCGGTGTCTCGAAACATGTTGATCTTCGTTCTAGTCCTCTTTTTGTCTCAAAGACTGCTTGCCATGGTCCAAAATGTTTGAACAAAACAACAACAGCGTGAGCGTCCTGCTAGGCATAACGCAGTTGTCCACGTCTGTCGCCATGGTTACTATGGCAGTGCGAGCGTAACCGAAGGTAACGCGGATATGATGTCATTGACTGGCGACTCCTCACCCCTGCTGACACGTCCCGTTTCCTTGGTTAAAATCGCAATTTTCTCACGATTTACAAATAGTTGGAAACATTGGGGATTTTGTAAGTAATCAACTAAATAAAATATATAACAGTGGCCTGGATGCCAGCCCGAACCCCGCCCACAACATTTTTTGGTCGGGAAGTTCGGTCTGGACTCGATCCATTGAGGAGTAATTATGATCGGTTCAGAATTAGTCGGGCCAATCAAATTGCCAGGGCGGGCTTTATACGATGATGGACAGATGATCTGCCGTTACGTAATCATCACGTCATCAAAGAGCGCTTGGGTTGAACTGGTTTCCCTCAGAGATGGCCGCCGCTGGAGAACTGAGATGTAGAGATCCCGCTATCGCGTCCGTTGTAAAAGAAATCGACAGCGCATTCATTTTAAAAGACGAACAGAGAACTGCAATCAAGGCATTTGTCGATCGGAAAGATGTGTTTGCCGTCCTTCCCACGGGATTCGGCAAAAGTTTAATTTATCAGCTGGCTCCGATGGTCGCTAAGAAGATGGGACGCAATGAAAACCCTGTGGTCGTTGTGGTTTCTCCTTTGGTCGCACTCATGGAGGACCAAGTAAAAGAAGCAACACTCATTATTGTACTACTTCTTCCAGCGTGCGTGCAGTTGAGTTCTGTTGACAATTTGCGTAGCTCATAAAAAAAAACACTTACTGCGTTGCTCTGATTGGTTGTAGGTCTATCCAATTGAGTGCAGAGGTTTTTTTTTCTTCCTGGTTCGGTTAAGACACGCCTCATAATCAAAGCCTAATGGAGCAGTATCACACTCACACTATGACTAGAATATGAGTATGACGAAGTCCTTTTATATCGTTGATGGGAAACAGTTTCAATCCCCAGCCCCGATCACGAGCGGGGTTCAGCGGGTTACCCGGGCCTCTCGCCGCAGGGTAGGCACACGCTGATCCGCCCATTGTGGCGCGCGTGCAGCCCCGGACATCTAAGGGCATCACAGACCTGTTATTGCTCCATCTCGCGTGGCTGAACGCCACTTGTCCCTCTAAGAAGTTGGACGCCGACCGCTCGGGGCCGCGTAACTAGTTAGCATGCCGGAGTCTCGTTCGTTATCGAAATGAACCAGACAAATCGCTCCACCAACTAAGAACGGCCATGCACCACCACCCACAGAATCGAGAAAGAGACTCAACACGGGTGTGCTTTCCCGTGTTGAGTCAAATTAAGCCGCAGGCTCCACTCCTGGTGGTGCCCTTCCTTCAATTCCTTTAAGTTTCAGCTTTGCAACCATACTCCCCCCGGAACCCAAAGACTCGTGGTTTCCCGCAGGCTGCCCGGCGGGTCATGGGAATAACGCCGCCGGATCGCGGGTCGGCATCGTTTACGGTCGGAACTACGACGGTATCTGATCGTCTTCGAACCTCCGACTTTTGGCCTAGTGGATTTTTGGATATTTTACTGCAAAAATCCTACATATTGTACCTTTAATAATCTAAACTACTGTTATACTAAAAAAAAATTCATTAAAAAAAAAAAAAAAACCAAGAGGTATATTCTTACTTCTGCTTAAGTTGCTCCCGACAGGTGTTTTTGCAGAAAGAGGCCGACTACGAAAGACAAGTGAGTATGAAAACACAACGTGTGAAACCTCATGAACACACTAAAGAGTGTGGAATAAAAGGGCAGAAGAGCGTCTCTCACTTCAGACTCTCCTGCGAGCTGGAGGACGAGCGGTCAGACTGAGGCAGGGACATGATGCTGTCCGAGCTCTTCAGGTGAGACTGGAGCGCCTTCTGATAGGTCAGTTCCAGCGCCTGGAACATATGCTCCGCCTCCTTGCTGAAGTGGGCGTGAAAACCCCAGTAACATCTGGAATAAAACAGGGTTCGTTCAGATTGTGTGAAATTCAATTCCAGGACTTTTCATTCAAGCACTACTTTTTCTGACTACAATCAGAGATCTCATTTATCAAACAATATCTTTCTTTATTATCTTTGAAATTCTAAAAAAGATAAATAGATTAATAAAAATAAACCGTAACACTTTACAATAAGTTTTTTCATTTGTTAACCTTAGTAAACTACATTAGTTTACATGAACTAACAATGAAAAACACTTCTAAAGCATTTATTAATTTTAGCTAATGTTAATTTTTTTTAACATATACTAATACACATGTAAAATCAAAAGTTGTTTCTTAACATTATGTGTTAATATTACATATTAACAGTTGTATTTTTATTAACCATACTTTACAGAGATGAACAAATACAGTAACAAATGTATTGCTCATTGCTAGTTAATGTTATTTAGTGCAACCTTATTGTAAAGTGTTACTAAATAAACTAATAAAACAAAATTGTACAAATAAAGTGCAATAACTGCGGTAACTTTAACCATTGAAAGGATACTATGACAAAGATATCGCTTTCCTCTTTCAAACTGGTTTTTCTCCTATGAATATATGATTGACTTGAAGAATAAAAGCTGTATCATATTCTTGGATATTTATATGAGCAATATCACGTTCATAGCCATGCAAAATCCCTCTATATCTGTATCAAATATCATCAGCGTTAATTTTGTGTGGAAAGATTGTTTTATCATGAAATTAAAAATTAATTTCACATATATTGCCTTTCAATAATTCAAGCACTTTCCAAGTACTTCTTCATAAAAATGGGTTTACCAGGATTTAAATTTTAAAAAAGTCAAATTCAAGTACTTTAAGCACCTGATAAAATGATCAAAACATTCACTCAGATTACAGCTAGCAGACAATTAATATCGCCTGAGAGAGAAGTGTGATGCACAGCATATCAATGAACAATATTTACATTTATTTTATTAGTGCCAGTAGTGTACGATATTGGAAGTAGATTATATTAGAGCTTATTTTATTCGTATCGCACATACAGTTGAAACTCGAAAGTTCATTTATTTCAGTAATTCAACTTAAAAGGTGAAACTAATATATTATATAGACTCATTACATGCAAAGTGAGATATTTCAAGCCTTTATTTGTTATAATTTTAATGATTATGGCTTACAGCTTATGAAAACCCCAAAGTCAAAATTAGAATATTGTGAAAAGGTTTTCATAAGCTGTAAGCCATAATCATCACAATTATAACAAATAAAGGCTTGAAATATCTCACTTTGCATGTAATGAGTCTATATAATATATTAGTTTCACCTTTTAAGTTGAATTACTGAAATAAATGAACTTTTGCACCATATTCTAATTTTTCGAGTTTCACGTGTATGAAGATTCACTCACTTTCTAGCAACTGATCTGGCCTCGGAGTCGGCATCATGAACTCCTTTCTTAATGGTTTCCATCAGAACAGCGATGTTCCTGAAGAGTAGAGAAGATAAAAACTAATTTTAGTGTGACAAAAACAGTGAGTCCATTCAAGCGAGCAGCCAAATCTCCACCACAGCAGAACATGAGCTCAAATCAATGAATCGGCTGTCCCTGCAGACCTCCTGAAACACGATTCTCCATCCATTAACCCAGAAGTGCTGGCGAAGCCGATCAGACATTGCCATGCCGAACATATGCAGGATTATCAAGGACGTCACTGTGATTCTGATGAGCTCATGAAGGCACTTTATAAGATGATCCTCTCCTGAGGATCCAGATAGTCATTGTATTGCCATCGGGTTTCATAAATGGGGCAGAACAAGTGATCCGCTCAAAGTCAAGAGTCAGTGAAGGCGATTTGAAACTGTAGTTTGTCAAAGCTACAAGCCATTTAATATAGATAAACCACAACTAAACTAACAGTTACAAACAAAAAGTAGCTTTTCAGTGGGCTACTGAGTTGTGAACTGGGTCAAATGATTAATTGAACAAAAATCGACTCAAAAGAACCAGTTAATTTAGATGATTCTGTTTAATGAACTAGTTCAACCAATTGATTCAGTGATAAAAAGCTGTTGCTCAATTAATTAGATTAAAAGACATGCATTTATAGTATATACCATCAATAAAAAAAATAGAATTTATACAACTGATTAAGTATGTAACTGAGAAACAGCATTTTTTATGAAATAACTATTTGACTATTACTTCATATGAGTCATTAGAAATGGAGTGAC